TTTTGTAATAAAGCTCAACAGAAGCACATAGTGCTGCTTATAAAAAACGCATTGTTTTMTTTTTTATGTTATATGTACACTCGTACATATCTATAATATATATTTATATATAAGCATGTTTGTACACATTTCCTCAAGCGTCAAGCTGCCAAAGCCGCAACTTTGAATGACTGAAAGAATTCTTGTTGAGCAAAGTTGATTAAAATTTCAAATAAGGCAAAACATGATTGAGGCATAAATGTCAGACGCAGATATTGAAGTGCGTTAGGCGTATGTACATATGTATATAGGCTAGCATATTCATTTGGGACTAATGAGCTGGTGAGTTTCTTTGAGAAAGGGGAATGGTTTTAATAAGAGTGGTTGGGCTTGTGGCAAAAAAATTTAATGATTTGTTTGGTTTTATAGTAGATTGTTGTGTTTTATGTTAATTTATGTCGATTTATAATAAAAAAAGATTAAATTAGATAAAAGAAATATGTCAAGGCAATCAATCAAAGTAAAAACACAGATAAACAACATTGATGTTTACAAATAATATTATAAATAAATAAATTTTGATTTAAAAATTTGATCAATGGTCTGTGATCCCAAAACTAAAAGTAATATTTAAACTTAAATTATAATTTTATATTTTTTGGAATTCAATTTATGGTATTTATTTATTTATGTACGTATTTTATATGTATTGCGGGTGACGGGGTGGAAAATGTCTCCCGCATCATCAGTGCTGTTGCCATCATCACAGCAACGATATGTGGCACTTGCAGGTCACTAAAAACTCCCCCTCTAAGGAATCGTCGCCTACCCTGGGATCACATTTGCGTTACTTCATTACCATGGTCCCCGGTCAGCATGAGGGCTCTTCGACTCTTCCTATTCTGTGGAGGTACGACTTCTCCGAATTTACTTCTTGTCCATAAGTCTAGGCCTTTTATTAGCATACCCGATCATCCACAGCGACTCTCATTCTCCCATCTTTGTTGCCATGTTGGTATTGTATTTTTCTTTAATTGTTCTAT